GCTGAATTGTTATAATTACCAAAACTTGCGGTCAAAATCCAGGCTTAAGACTAATAAACTATTTCGTTGTAAGATTGATTCAATTAATTAAGAGAAACCAGGATTGTGTTCACCATAACATTAGTTCTAGTGTTCTCCCGTAATTTGAGTGTCAGGCAAATCAATGTTTACAGAATCCGTGCAAGTTAAATTGATCTAACGCTTCTCAACCTAATCAGATAATGATCACTCATGTTCTCTCGACCTTAGAGTGTTACTAACATTGAACCTTGCTTGAAATGATATAGTGTTAAAGATCTTTTCTCTCGAACTCAAGCTTTAACTCCATTTTGTTAATTTAATTCAGCTTTTTCCTAACTGGTATTTTTCTCTCGAACAAATACCAGATACAGGCTCGTCTAATGCGTGCACTCACTAGACTAAAATGATATTTAAAGTTAAAAACTACAGGTTGTAAACACAGACTGCCTTTTACTCATTTTACGGAATCGCAACTAGAATATTGTCATAGATCCCACAACCCTAGTCGTGGTATTTAGCCACTCATGCTTGCACATAAACAATCAATAATTAGGGATGAAAACATATTGAGAAAGACTTACGAAAATAATTAGAAAATCAACAATCACTTTGATAATCTGAATCCGAATTTTCAACTGATAACAATAATCAAAAATCAAAAAATCGAAAGCTAAGAGTAATAATGTGTTCTTAGTCGTCAAACATAAGACAATCAATAATGTTCCAAAAATGACCTAAAGTAATTCAAAATAGAATGTTTAAAATGAGTTTTAATTGAACTAGGACTGAAATGTCGGGTGGCTCTACGGCCCGTGAAGCCTTCCGTAAACTTCCCAAAAATTGCCCTTCAAACTTGATCACTGGAAAATGCACCACGTCAAGCACGACGGTCCGTAGTGAGGACCACGGCCCGTGAAGTGGTCTGTGGTCTTCACTTGCGTTTCAACTTTCTTCCACTCTTTAATGCTTTCACTGGAAGTTGCACCACGACAAGCACGACGGACCGTGGAGAGGACCACGGCCCGTGAAGTGGTCTGTGGTCTTCACTTGGGTTTCAACTTTCTTCCACTCTTCAATGCTTCTTTCATTGGAAACTGCACCACGACAACCACGACGGACCGTGGAGAGTACCACGACCCGTGAAGTACTCTGTGGTCTTCACTTGTTATTCCTGCTCTTCATCTTCTCAAGGCCTAGCACTACCTCACTTTCACGAGCTCACCCACAAACCGTAATGAAGTTAATGGTCTGTGAAGTTGGCCGTGAACTTCACTTGGTCAACATTAGTTCTGCTTCTTTTTCTACTTTTCTATACAACCCAGATTCTGCCTACACATTTAACAAACCCATCAAATAATCCAAAATTTCACTTAATTCCAGTATTAGTTCATAGTTATTAAGCATAAAATGTGCCACGATTTTGCGGCACATCAACACCCTCAACTTAGAACCATTACTTGTCCTCAAGTGATGAGAAAAACAAATACAATCAGCCCTCAATTCATTTCCAGATTTATGACACTACGCATCAACTATTTCAAGTACAATTTGTACCCCAGACCTCTGAATCTAACATGTAAGGATCAATACATGACATCTCATTACTCACAGTCAATCATGCTTATACCTGCGAATTATCAGCTCTCACAATCTACTTTCAAATGCAACCCACTGTGTCCTCACACCAAAGAAGTCCCTCTGAATCTAATAGGCTTGCCCTTGATTTCTATGCTTTATCTTTCAAACACCCGGAATAGGATCGCTGTAGGACTTTATTGGCTTGTAACATAGGCTCGGGAATAGGGAATGAATATTTGGTTTCGTGAGTGACTAATCCCTTGGTTTTCCAAAGTTTCATTTTCACATACTCTTTTCTGAGTGATTCCCTCTTTTTCTTTATTTCAGCCCGACCCAATAGCTATTTTTTTTTCTTTTCTTCTTTTTCTGTTCTTTTATATATATATATATATATGCAATTTTGATAAGCACTTAGCTCACTGGTTGAACCTTCTTTTTCCTTTTTTCTTTCTGTTCGGATTGCAATCACCCTCAACTTAGGCTTTTGGCCTGAGTTGTGATAATGTACCTTCAGAGAACAAAGGATATGATATATGTTGGGTAAGAACAAAGACTGATTTAAGGCTCAAATTGGAACAAAGATTGATTTAAGGCTCAAATTGGGTTCAAGTGATAAGCTTTTCATTTGGTTCTTTTATTTTTGGCTTTTTACTGGTTTAACAAAAATGGCCTACTGATCCTTTTCTATCCGGTTATTCTTAGATTCAAGCAAGACTACTTAGGCAAGTTCTAGTTTCTGCTCCTAGTGTTAGACTTCAATCAAAACTTACACACTCACTACACATGATTGCATTTTTTTTCAGTTTCTTGGTTCACCACGTAATTGGTCAGATTAGCCATGTTCAACATATCAGTATCTAAGATGTCATCTAAAGATCCTAACAGTCAAACTCAGATTTAGGTCCTCATTTTTCAAAGACTAGCTGCTACACAGCTCAACACACAAAACACCCAAAACAGTAATACACAGAGACAACCTCCATTTTTCTAACAGCTATGGCAGGTTGCTCACCACCCCTCCCCAAATAAAAAGAACTTTTCCCTCAAAGTCGATACAAAACATAAAACACACAGGCTATGAGGAGGGGTCATACCTACGGTGCTCTAGGCGCCAGTCGTCGGATCAGCATTGGCACCCTTATCAATGGGTGCACTCTCAGAACTTGGGATATGATCAGTTTGGTCCTCACTAGTCGGAGCAAGTGCTCCACTACTAGAAGCTCCAACTAAGGCTGTATCTCGTTGTTGCTGTTCAAGGGCTTCCTTTTCCCGAGCTTCCCTCTTTGATGTTCTACAAACTCTCTTTTCTTGCCTCTCTAGCTGGGTCAGTAGGGGTCTCCTCATCAAGTTCTCCAGCTTTGTGTTTTCTCTTGCCGGACTTACTCGTGGGGGGTTCTCCCCAAAGATCATCAATTGATTGAGTGGAGGGTACCTGATTTAGCATTTGCATTAAAGATTCGGGCAATATCGGAGTGGGTACCTGTATTGGCTTTTTAGCCAGTTTAGCAATCTGAGTTCTCATCTCGGCCAACTGTGATTTGAACTCTTCAGTATCAACTAACCCGACAACCTGGAATCGATGTTGGACAGGGTTCTCTAAACCATCCAATCTATCTTTTAAGACAACCAACACTTTCCGCACCTCATCTTTGATCTCTTTTTTTGTAGCTAACACCTTCATCTCTATCAATTGAGGCATCCGAAGCACAATCTGGTCTACTAATGTCCTGGTCTGGCGCTGATCTGCAACCAATTTCTCAAGAAAAAGCATAGGGATAGTGACAAAGGTACATTGAGCCTGGGAGGCTGAAGCTGGAGGTGGTGGTGCCTCTGTGGAAGGCTGTGATGACTCTCCCTGTTCTAGACCTCTATCTGCATGTGGGATGTCAATTGGGACAGGTGGAACAACATCTAAAGTACCCACAACGATAAACTGCGTGCCAAAGAGATGGTTCGCGACATCCTTGATTTTAGAAACCTGGATGAGTCTGAATGCCTCACCCCATCTGTCAACCAGGCTGTTCGGAGGAATGTTCGCTCCTCAACATAATTTCCCTATCACACAGGGAAAAAGAATTGTGGCTCTCTCATTTAGCGCTATGTCTCTCATCTCGATCGCTATTATCTTTCCCGCATTGATCGGGTAACCAACCATAAGACATGCTATCAACGAGGCCAGGGAATGTGACAAAGTGTTATCATTAGCTGTAGGTCGCAATTGCGCTCAGACGACAGCCCACCAAACCTTGACTGGAAAAGATAGCGAAGCTTTAGTAATGAGTGTTGCAGTTGTGGTGATCCAAAATGCATACTCCCCATCTATGGCAATCTGCTTCACAATCCAGCGTAAAACCCTTTCTCAAGAATTCTAATCTTCCATCGTAGCATCACTGGTGACCTGATGATGTTTGCCCTCGAAAAGGCCAACTGAAGCTAGTGCAGAGTATTCCGGGCCGTAAAACATTCTGTTAATCGAAGCCTCAGAAATATCTATTGATTTTCCCCTAACTATGATTGAGTTGAGTGGACCCCAGGTAATAGCCATGTCTTTCTATCCACGTTTCATGGTCTCTGTATCCGCATCAAAATTCATCAATGTAGCTGCATATGAGGAATACAATTCTTTGGCCAGGTGGCTAGAGTATTTTCCAAGTGCATTGTCCATCCAGTCGAACTGATGGAGCTGAAATATCCGATAGATGTCCAGGAATGCTTTGATATCAACTACTACCACCCTAGTCTCAGGCATGATTGCTCGATTCTTGAAGCCGCCAGCCTTGTTCACAATCCCACTGTTGAAAAATTCTTTGGACCAGTTCACAGTCCACATGGAACAGTAACAAGCAATCAACTGTGGTCTCAGTGCAGGATTAGGTTCATGAGCAGTCACATACATCACCATGGTATCATCATTGGTGATCTCTTCATCATCCTCTATAGTAGTTTCTTTGTCTCGTACTTCAGTTTCAACTTCTGTATGTGCCACAGGTGGAGAGGTGTTTGTATCGTCATGAGAACTGCTTGCAGACTCTGCACTGCCCCCCGAGTTATTAGTAAATTGGCTACCAGCAGGAGCAGATTGACTTCCCGAGTCCTCCCCGTTATCAAAACTACCACCTCCCTCTTCAGACTGAGGAGGAGTGTCCTGGAGGATAGTTGTTTTGGTCAGTGATCTAGTAGCCCAAGGCGAGTGATCTTCAGGTGTAACATTTATTTGCACCTCAGAACCACTAGCGTCGAAGTCATTATGACCCTCTGATTGAGAAGCAGTGTGGGGGGGTGGGAGATTTTGTTGCATTCTTTCTTCTGGGACCCATTGTACCTAGTACAATTACATCTTGGATTGCCTCCCAAGCAGCGCACAATTTAACGTCGCGGCGCGATGCAAGTTACTTGATTACTCAGACTTCATCAAGTTTGCATCCCTCTACAATCTTCACATCCTCAACAACACCCAAGTATGCCTTGATTCGCTGGCCATTAGCTTTGAACCTCTCGTCTTTATCATTTTCCAGCTCAATAGCACTAGATTGAAACACTTGTGTGACCTTAAAAGGTCCAGACCATTTAGACCTCAGCTTTCCTGGAAACAGACGAAGTCTGGAGTTGAAGAGTAACACCAAGTCACCGGGAGTGAAGCTTCTTTTTTCAATGTGTTTGTCATGATATAACTTCATTCTCTTCTTATAAAGTGCAGACCTCTCATAGGCTCTCAGACGGAACTCATCTATCTCATTGATTTGATCCAACCTCAAGTTTGTAGTTTCGCTCCAACTGAGGTTTAGCTTCTTCAACGCCCAGAGTGCTCTATGCTCAAGCTCAACCGGCAAATGACAGGCCTTTCCAAACACCAATTGATATGGAGACATACCATTAGGCATCTTAAAAGTGGTCTGATATGCCCATAGAGCATCATCTAGCTTCCTTGCCCAATCTGTCATGTTGGCATTAACTGTCTTTGCTAAGATTGCTTTTAATCTCCCTGTTGGAAACCTCTACTTGTCCACTGGTCTGCAGGTGATAAGGTGTTGCAACCTTGTGTTGTTTTACCCCATACTTGGTCAGAAGCTTACTGAACACCTTGTTGCAGAAGTGAGAACCACCATCACTGATAATGGCTCTGTGTGTTCCAAACCTTTAGAAGATGTTCTTTTTCAGGCAACCATCAACACTCTTGCCATCATTCTCAGGAAAATCAACGGCCTCAACCCATTTGGACACAAAGTCCACTGCAACCAATATATACTTCTGCCCATAAGAACTCACGAATGGGCCCATGAAATTGATGCCCCACACATCAAACAATTCCACCTCCAGAATAGGTGTCATGGGTAACTCATGGCGCCGAGAGATGGCTCCTTGCCGCTGGAAAACATCACAGCTCCTTACTATGTCCACTCCATCTTGATGAATAGTGGGCCAGTAATACCCACACTGAAGTATCTTGTGGGCTATTCGAGCACCTCCATGATGACCACCAACTGGAGATTAGTGACAAGCCTCCAGAATGTGCAACATTTCAGCTTTCGAAACACATCGCCTAATTATGTTGTCAGCACACACCTTGTACAGATACGGTTCATCCCAAAAGTATTTGCCCACATCATGCAGGAACCTTTTCCTTTGCTGATATGTCAGCCCCTCAAGCATCAAATTAGTAACCAGAAAATTAGCATAATCAGCGAACCAAGGAATAAGGTCAAAAGTTGCAGCTAATACTTGCTCATCTAGGAATGTATAATCTATTTCAAGCTCAAGCTCTTCCTTCTTTGCAGCCTCCAACCTAGACAGGTGATCAACTACCTGGTTCTCACAGCCTCTCCGGTCCTTCACTTCAAAGTCAAACTTTTAGAGAAGTAGCACCCATCAGATCAGCCTAGGCTTGGCATCTTTCTTTTCCATGAGGTATCTCAGGGCAGCATGGTCTATATGAACTATCACCTTAGTGCCCAGCAGGTAAGCTCTGAACTTCTTAAACGCATACACCACAACCAATAGTTCCTGCTCAGTGACTGTGTAGTTTTGTTGTTCCCTAATTAGCGACTTACTAGCATAGTAAATCGAATGGAACATCTTGTTGCGCTTCTGCCCCAACGCAACTCCTAATGCAGTCCCACAACATCACACATTACCTCAAATGGCTCTGCCCAGTCTGGGCCAATGATCACTGGTGCTGAAATCAACTTTTTCTTTAGGCACGCAAAAGCTTTGAGACATACCTCATCAAAGACAATTTTTATCTCCTTCTCCAAAAAGCTTGCACATGGGGTGTGCAATTTTGGAGAAGTTCTTGATGAAACGCCTATAGAACCCGGCATGGCCTAGAAAGCTTCTAACACCCTTCACACAGATTGGCGGAGGTAACTTTTCAATCACCTCAATCTTGGCCTTATCAACCTCTATCCCCTTCTATGATACTTTGTGTCCCAGGACTATGCCTTCCTTTACCATGAAATGACACTTCTCCCAATTCAGCACTAGGTTGGCCTCCTCACATATATGTAAAGCCCTGCTAAAATTCAACAAACAGTAATCAAAAGTATTGCTTACTACAGAGAAATCTTCCATAAATACTTCTAGAGTGTCCTCAACCATGTCTGAGAAGATGGACATCATACACCTTTGGAATGTTGCTGGTGCATTACATAGTCCAAACGGCATGCACTTAAACGCAAAAGTTCCATAAGGACATGTGAATGTGGTCTTTTCTTGATCTTCAGGAGCAATTGATATCTGGTTGTAGCCAGAATATCCATATAAGAAACAGTACCACCATTTACCTGCCAACCTATCAAACATCTGGTCCATGAAAGGCATGGGCAAATGATCCCTCAAAGTCAGCTTGTTCAGCTTCTTGTAGTCCATACACACTCGCCATCCAGTGACTGGTCTCTGCGGGATTAACTCATTTTTGGCATTTGCCACCATAGTCATACCGCCTTTTTTAGGTACACATTGCACTGGACTGACCCAGTGATTGTCAGAAATGGGATAGACCACCCCAACATCTAACCACTTTATTATTTCTTTCTTAACCACCTCTTGCATAGGTGGGTTTAGCCTCCGCTGGTGTTCAATGCTTAGGCTGCAGTCCTCCTCAAGCTGAATCTTGTTGGTGCATATACCTGGAGGTATTCCAATTATATCAGCAATGGTCCACCCAATGGCTCTTTTGTACCTTCTCAACACCTTGATCACTTCCTGCACCTGCTCTTCATTTACATCTGCAGCCAAGATCACAGGTAAAGTGTTGTTAGTACCCAAAAATACATACATGTGGTGATTGGGTAATTGTTTCAGTTCCAGCACCGGTGCACGCTCTTGGATGGATGGTTTTGCTGGAGGACTTGGCCTGTTTTTCAAGTCCAGGCCCAATTTCTTTGGAGCATACGAGTGTGCTCCCATACCCTGCAAGGCATTAACGGTCTCTATGTAGTCAGACCAGAAATCAGCATCAAAGTTCATCAGCATTGCTGCTAAGGTTTCAACAACCATCCTCTCTTCTATGGGTACCCTCATGTCTTCATCAGCAACCACTTCTATGGCAGATACCACATTCATATCATTGGGTTGCTTCATTGACCTGAAAATATTGAACTTTACCTCATCCTTGTTGAGTCTGAACTTCAGCTCTCCTCTCTCAACATCAACCAAGGCTCTTCTTGTAGCCAAGAATGGTCTCCCCAAGATGATGGGAACCTCAAAGTCCACTTCGCAATCCAAGATAACGAAATCAGCTAGAAAGATGAAGGTGTCCACCTTTACCAGTACATCACATAGGACTCCCACTGGTCTCTTTACTGACCTATCAGCCATCATCAACCTCATTGTTGTAGGTTTTGGTACTCCCAATCCCAACTTCTTGTAAATGGCTAATGTCATCAAGTTGATGCTAGCTACTAGATCACATAAAGCTTTTGCAAAGCTAATTTACCCAATGGTTCATGGGATCGTGATTGCACCTGGATCTTCCTTCTTCTGAACCACAGATCTGGTAGCAATGGCGCTGCAATGATGAACATCGTTAGAAAAATCAAGATTTACAGCTCTTTTCTTGGTAACCAAGCCTTTCATTAGCTTGGCATATCTTGGCATCTGCTCCAGGGATTCCACTAGTAGTATGTTTACTGAAAGTTGTTTCAGCATGGTGATAAACTTTGTAAACTTCCCATCTTCAGCTTTATTTTTGAGCCTTTGAGGGAAAAGAGGAGGTGGTTTGATAATCTGCTGTAAAGACAGGTTTTTCTCGACTCCTTTCTCTTTTCCTCTCGCAGGTTGTGCTTTAGGTTGAACATCTTCCAAGTCATCTACCCGTATAGTTTCATCCTCATCTCAAGCTGGCAAGACCTGTTCATTTTTTGTACCTGCAGAAATAGGGTCAGTAAGAACTTTACCACTCCTGGTGGCAATGGCCATGCAGTATCCGTCCTTCTTAGGATTTTGAATGGTGTCACTTGGTAGTGACCCATTCTTCCTCTGATTCAATAGGCTGAGAGTTGCCTCAACTGCTGCTCAATTTGTTTAATGGAGGTGGTGTGAGAGTCAACCAACTGACGCATGCTCGAGAAATCACCTCTAATTTCTTTTACCCCTGCATCAGTTGATTCAACCTTCTGGAGTACTTTAGCCATCATATCTTCCAGCTTAGATCTGCTGGAACTACCACTTGCTCAGTTTCTATTGCCTGGGGGCACATAAACACCACTGCGATCATTCCTATACCCATCTTTGTTCTACCAGTTTCCCTGATCTCTATTTGTTGGCCTATCATACTGACCATCCCTAGCATAGTTCCGACCTGCATTTTCGGAATTGTAACCCTGATTTCCAGAGTTATAATTTCGGAAACCTCCTTGGTTTCCCAAGTAGTTAGCTTCCTCAATAAGGTCAATATCCTGATCATCATACCTGTTTTGCTGTCCCATAACATTTGCCTTTTCAGACTTGGCAACAATATGCTTTGTGACCTATTTGAGTCCTCATATGTGCCATGTCTTGGTCCCTTTCTTCTTCTCTCTTCCTCTGTTCAGCTGAAAGCTCAAATGTATACCCAAGCTCTCCTACCTCCGCATCTTTTGTGTACCATGCCTTGTTATTCTTTGATACCTCATCCAACAACTGCATGCTCTTCGAATATGACTTCCTCATAAATGAGCCTCCACAAACTGCATCAACAACAGGTTTAGTAACATAATTCAGAGACCTATAAAAAGCCTGTTTCAGATGCCTTTCAGTAAGATCATGGTTGGGGCATTTCTTCAGCTTTTGGCTGAACCTCCACCAAGTATCATGCATTGCCTCTCATGGTAGTTGCTTGTGTATACTAATCTCGTCCTTCATATGCAACTTTTTTTATTCTGGGAAGAATCGTTCCAGCTTCCTTCAACTCAGTCTAAGTTCGGATGGAGTCGTCTAGCATCTCATTCAGCCAATTTGTTGCCTCTCCAGTAAGGGACAGTGGGAACAGCCTCAACCTCATTGTTGTTTGGTTGAATCCAGGAATTTTTTGTGACTTATAAATTGCCACGAAATTCATTAGGTGCTGATTTGCATCATCACCAGCTGCACCCCTAAACATACCTTTCAGGTTCCACAACTGAATCATAGTGTTGGTGATTGTGAACTTAACACCTAGAGGTAGCACAGGTAATATTATCGCTCCAGTGGCTCCAGCTACATCCAAATCTGCATCATCTTCATCATACATCATGTGCGCTGGATGCTGAGCTCTACCCCTTAGAGGTATTGGTTGGCGCTGGGGAGGGATCAATCCATCCACTGCTCTATTCCTATCTACCACCCTAGGTTGGTTGTTATCACCGTTCTGCTGAACACCTCTTGCAGCGGCTTCAGCTTCTAGTCCCAACCATTGTCTCTGCGCCTCAGGTTCTTGTGCATTCACCATTTTTCTAAGAGTCTTTTGGAGTTGTGAGTCGTAAGGAATCAATTAAGCTCCTTTACTCATGGTACTTGGCATACACAGTAGCACTCACCTGAAAGAGACACAAACACAGAACAAAACGTAAAATTAGGAAATATAACTACAAATCAAATAAAAGCTAGTAAAACACTCATGAATTGAAATTCCCTGGCAGCGGCGCCAAAATTTGATACATCCAAACTTACACTTCAAATAAGAAGTGTAAACGATCGAAGTCAATTTACAGAACTCAACTAGAGTTGAGGTCGATCCCAAAGAGAATTTCTTTATAGATAAGGTTTCACTGTCGCGTTTATTCAAATGTTGTTATTATCTTCTAGACAAATAACAATGGAAAGTAAATTGGGTATGGCTGAATTGTTATAATTACCAAAACTTGTAGTCAAAATCCAGGCTCAAGACTAACAAACTATTTCGTTGTAAGATTGATTCAATTAAATTAGAGAAACTAGGATTGTGTTGACAATAACATTAGTTCTAGTGTTCTCCCGTAATTTGAGTGTCAGGCAAATCAATGTTTACAGAATCCTTGCGAGTTAAATTGATCTAACGCTTCTCAACCTAATCAGATAATGATCACTCATGTTCTCTCGACCTTAGAGTCTTGCTAACATTGAACCTCACTTGAAATGATATGGTGTTAAAGATATTTTCTCTCAAACTCAAGTTTTAACTCCAATTTCATAATTTAATTCAACTTTTTCCTAACTGGTATTTCTATCTCGAACAAATACCAGATACAGGCTCGTCTAATGCGTGCACTCACTAGACTAAAATGATATTGAAAGCTAAAAACTACAGGTTATAAACACAGACTGCCTTTTACTCATTTTACGGAATCGCAACTAGAATATCTTCATAGATCCCACAACCCCAGTCGTGGTATTTAGACACTCATACTCTCACATAAATAATTAGTATTTAGGGATGAAAACATATTGAGAAAGACTTACAAAAATAATTAGAAAATCAACAATCACTTTGATAATATGATAGTCTGAATCCGAATTTCCAACTGATAACAATAATCAAAAATCAAAAAATCGAAAGCTAAGAGTAATAATGTGTTCTTAGTCGTCAAACGTAAGATAATGAATAATGTTCCCAAAATGACCTAAACTAATTCAAAATAGAATGTTTAAAATGAGTCCTAGTCGAACTAGGACTGAAATGTCGGGTGGCTCTACGGCCACTTCTACGGCTCGTAGAGGGCTTCACGGACCGTGAAGCCTTCCATGAACTTCCCTTGGAACTTCCCAAAAATTGCCCTTCAAAGTTGATCACTGGAAAATGCACCACGTCAAGCACGACGGTCCGTAGTGAAGACCACGGCCCGTGAAGTGGTCCGTGGTCTTCACTTGGGTTTCAACTTTCTTCCACTCTTCAATGCCTTCACTGGAAACTGCACCACGACAAGCACGATGGACCGTGGAGAGGACCACGGCCCGTGAAGTGGTATGTGGTCTTCACTTGTTATTCCTGCTCTTCATCTTCTCAAAGCCCAACACTGCCTCACTTTCACGAGCTCACCCACGGACCGTAATGAAGTTAACGGTCCGTGAAGTTGGCTGTGAACTTCACTTGGTCAACATCAGTTCTGCTTCTTTTTCTTCTTTTCTATACAACCCAAATTTTGCCTACACATTTAACAAACCCATCAAATAATCCAAAATTTCCCTTAATTCCAGTATTAGTTGATAGTTATTAAGCATCAAATGTGCCACGATTTCGCAGCACATCAATATCAAAATTTTACATTTTTCGTGACTGCCCGAAAAATATAAAAAAATTTAATTGGTAAATGTCCAAAAAATATAAAAATAAAGAAAAAGACATAAAAACACCTCAAAAAATTCCCTGAATCGCACCAGTCACCTTAGAATATTGATACGTCCAAACTTACACTTCGAATAAGAAATATAAACGGCTGATGCCAATTTATAGAACTCAATTAGAGTTGAGGTCGATCCCATAGAGAATTTCTTTACATATAAGGTTTCAGTGTCGCATTTATTCGAATGTTGTTATTATCTCCTAAATAAACAACAACGGAAAGTTAATTGGGTTTGGTTGAAATGTTGTAAGTACCCAAACTTGTAGTCAAATTACAGATTAACGACTAACAGACTATTTCGTTGTAAGGTTGATTTAGTTAATTAAGAGAAACCATGATTGTGTTCACCATAACGATACTTCTAGTATTCTTTCGTAATTGAGTGCCAGGCAATTCAATGTTTCCAGAATCATTGCGAGTTAAATTCATCTGACACTTCTCAGCCTAGTCAGATAATTATCACTCATGTTCTCTCGACCCTAGAGTGTTACTAACGTTGACCCTCGCTTACAATGATATGGTGTTAAAATTCTTTTCTCTCGAACTCAAGCTTTAACACCAAGTTGTTAATGTAGTTCAGCTTTTTCCTAACTGGTAGTTTTCTCTCGAACAACTACTAGATACATGCTCATCTAATGCGTGCACTCACTAGATTATAATGAGGTTGAAAGCTAGAAACTACAGATTGTAAACATGGATTTCCCTTTACTCGTTATACGGAATCGTAACTAGAATTTCGTCATGGATCCCACAACCTCAGTCGTGGTATTTAGACACTCACGCTTTCACGTAAACAATCAGTATTTAGGAATGAAAACATGTTAAGAACGACTTACGAAAATAATTCACAATGCAACAGTCACTTCGATAGTCTGATAATCCAAATCCGAGCTTCAAATTGAGATTCAAATCGAAATCCAAAATCAAAAGCCAAGCGTAAAAAATATGTCCGTCTTCGTAAAACGTCAGATAATGAATAATCTTCCAAAAATGACCTAAAGTAATTCAAAATAGAATGTTAAAAATGAGTCCTAATCGAACTAGGACTGACTT